TTGTATATTGAATAGGTTTAAAGCTACTGATTTTTATAAGCAGTCAAAACCTATTGTCCTAATCTTTATATCAACATGTTTGTATAGACTTAATGGTACACAAGACCTGCAAACATTCCTCCATCATGGTGTTGAAACATGCAGCTTTAAACAGATATTTTAAGGAAAACAAATGAATAAATAATAAGCCGTATTCTGTTTTAGGAAATAGCTTCACTCATTAATCAATAAGGAATTAGCCTGCTAGCATAATTAAACTAACTAAAGTACAAAATACCAAGCCCTTATATACATAATGTATAACATTACATTAATATATATTTGTAAATTGTATAATATTTTATAATGATTAACCCATAACCTGCTGCATTTACTAAATGGACTTGTACAGCTTTCATTTTCGGAACTGTCCATACTCAATTTTTGGAGTTGTTATGGTGAAAATTTGAAGTTGGTCAGATAAACAGTATAGTCTTCCCCCCCCCCAAGAAATTTCTCTCTAAAATTCAATTAACATTAAAATTTTGCTTCCCCTATTTGTAAAACTGCCATGTTACTTTTCCCCAAAGTTAAGGAAAAGAGCCACTTCCTCTACCTGTGAATTAAAAAGCACTGCTCACTGACTCATACAGACTACAGTTAAAAAACTGCTGAGAGTTAAATATGAAAAACTAGTTGTCACAACTATTTTTGTTCACTTAAACAAATACCAATCTGTGTCACGAAAGCCATGCTGTTTTTGTATCTATAAATACAGTGTAACTTCAGAATTCCGGAACTTCTGAAATCCGGAAACTTCTAAAAACCGAACAATTTTTTCGGTCCCGATTTTTTCCCTTCTATTTTCTATTAATATAATACTTCTGAAATCCGGAACTTCTAAATACTGAATTCCGGACGATGTTTTCGTAAAATTAGAGTCAAATCAATGCAATTTTACCTCCAAAAACCGGAAATATCCAAAGGTGTGAAATACATTGTAAATCGAGAATGTTTCCCCTGCAGGAAGATTTAATCTCCCTATCGATTGTTTACTAATTAGCGGTGATCGTGTAATTTGACACGCGTTAAAATCACAAACTGTGAAATGATATGTTTGAAGTGATGCAGTTAATCAAATTAATTTACGGCGGTCAGTTAATTTGAAGTGTTTATTAGCGGATTAAATGACAATTAATTGGACAATGTATGCATCAAACGTCTTTAGGTATTTTATTGCATTTGATGTAATAATTAATTAACAGACAGACAGACAGACAGATATCTTTATTCACTCAAGCACATTTGTACAATATGAGGATTTTCTAATATAACACATATAATACATTAGTTTTCCAGCAGTAAACATACATAATCTTGCACAATATATTTTTTTTCCTATAATGTAAACAATATGGTGAATTATTACAGTGTGTTTTCTGGGGGGGGGGGGGGGGGGGAGATTCGGACGATATGTAAGTTTATGCAATTAACAACATTTCTACAAACTGATTTGCAGTTTAGATAAAAACGTATTATTTTCATTCACATCTTTATCTTGATTAAAAGACTATTATATATGATATTACAGCAATCTTCCTTGAAATTTAGTGATATTAAGTGGCTTAGTCTTGTCCACATTATCATGAACCTCTGAATTCCGGAAACCTCTGAAATCCGAACTTTTTGACAAGTCCCATGGGTGTTCGGTTTTCGGAAGTTACACTGTATACACACAAATCAAGTTGCTAATTAAATGTAAGCACGCTTTGAACATGAAGTACTTTACTGAACGTTATACCAAAGTCACTAAGGAAAAGCAGGAAAATTGTATTGGGTATGTACATGATTACAGCTTTTTCATGATAAGTGATTTTCAACACTTGTCCTACAAGTTTGACATAAACTTGTTGCTATGTACAAAAAGATAATAGTAAATTTCCTGAATCACATCAAATTCGCTAATTATGTTACAGGGAGACAAGAAGATGCGGAAGTGGCTGCTAAGCCAGCAGGAAGTCACGTAGTGATTAACAACAGCTTCGGTTATCTTACATGTACACAATTGAGAACTATTATTATAAACCAGCTATATTCAAACACACATTAACCAAACCACACTACATATCTTAAATGGACTTATCATTTTTTCAATCTGGACAAAACCAATCCAATATTTTTTAGGAGAAAATTGAAAATATGTACTAACAAAATTTCAAACAGTGTAGACCATAAACAGACAACACAAATGTACCAGCTGATCTTATAGTAACGGCCAGTAGGCTAAGGGTAAAACCCCGAATATATCTTACACAACAAACAAATTTAAAGACAATTCTTACTCTCCATGTACTCAACATTAAAGGCTAATTTTTTATCAATGAAAACTAATCAGGAAAGATTTGTTATCTTGACCCTTACACTACATCATATAATTATATTCCTTATTTCCAATGTAAAATTCCTATTAAACACCCCTCCCCTAATAAAGCCAGGGTTTTTTACCTTCTATAGCAGGTGCTGTTATAGCAGAAAAAATCTTTAAAGTTTTCCCCAACAATTAAATTTACATGAAGTTTTTTCTACCCCTTTTGCAAATAAATATACAGTGTAATTTCCTGCAAAACTAAGGGCAGAGCTGCTTCCCCAACCTGTGAAAAAAGCCATATCTTTAATTATTCATTAATATCAGAATTGATAATGATAAGATTCAAACAATCCTTTCATAAACATTTCACTCAGACTTTCTTTAACACCTAAAAATCCATTTTATTTTATTCAACACAACTGCAGTGCTCTACCCCCCTGTGAAATTCAACATCTGTTGCTAATTACTAAAATTCCTCAAGTGTTTGAAAACCCATTATTCCTGAAGTATAATGTGCAGAACAATCCACCACTGTAATACAGTCTCGATAAATAATATTATCTCTTCTACTTAAAATAAGAATTTTTACAAAAAACTGTAAAAAATTTGATAAGATAAAGATGTTAGTGTAAAACACATTATTTATTGTATTAAAAAAGCTCGCTGAAGAATAAGCCTTATTTTTTATACCCAGCAAGGGTGAAAAGATGCAGTGTCAGATTTCTTATCCTGAAATTATTCATGGTATCACTTTCTAGCTAAAGAAGGGAACTAGTATTTAAGGGCTGAACCTACAAAATGTCTACTAAAATTTTAAACACAAAAATATTATGATATCCTGTATTGGACAATGTATAACAACTGGCCAGACACTGTTACTCAATTTCCATTAACAATTTCATTTAACTAAAAATAAAATAATGAATTTAAAGAGACAAAAAGTTTTATCGTAAAACAGCCGAAATATTATATTAAATAATTCTAGCTGGGAAATAAATAAACACCAAAGGATACATAGACTGTTTAGAATTATTATTCATTTATTGTGTGTAAAAAGTAATGATATTTAAATATATTCACCAACATGCATGTAAATGACATGTATACCCACGCTGAAACATTACAGTTATGTGTCCATACATACAATATAATACATAACATGTAAACCTACTCTCATATCATGACAATAAACATCATGTATAGATTCATTTGTGACATACATTTTTATGTTGAAGTATTTTTTTACTCATTATGCTCATTTGTTCAGCAATTAAAGACCTGTCTGTTTGGACTGTTCAGTTTAATATTTTTTTAATTTCCGTAAAAAAAAAGATTGGTCTAAAGTGTCTTATTACTATAATTATGTTGATTCAATGTTTATTTCCAATATGAAATACTAAGCAAAATTGAAAGCTGGCACAACCGATTTCTGGCCGGAATGTAATAAAGGTTTACAGTAATACACTCTAGAAGTCAAATACTGCATGGATGGTGGCATGGCATCAGACTAGTAATCTAGGGATAGCTTACTGTGTGGGGTCAAACCACATTAGGGGCAAGCAGTTGTTTCCTTGAGCAAGAAACTTTATGTTCATTGCTCAGTACAGGTGGGTTCAAGGGGCAGATTTAAGTTGTCTGAGCTTATCCTATACAATCAAAACTAATATAAATTCTCAGAATTTATTCTATATTAAACACTGTATGATATAAATAGGAACAGCTCTAATTTACACTTAATGACAGAACTTAAAAATTTTGCATTCTGAAAAGTAAAATCCTCTAATTTTCAATTAGGTCACACGGCATATTTCCCATTTTAAACATAAAGCAAGGAGACACTAAGAATATTCAATGACAGGCATTAAGACAAATGTTAGAGCTAAATAAATTGCTCAACTGAAAACAAATGGAGCACATCTCACATGTACTGATTATTTTTTCTGTCAAAGTTTAAATAAAATTACTTAATTTCGCTTCCGGTTGTCATATTACAAGTTGTTTATCTAAACTTTAAAGTTAACAAGCACTTAAAAGACATGTATGTAAAACACTTCACATCATCGGAAGACAATGAAGAATTTAACATCAACAAGTACAAACAGAAAAACATTCACAATTATCTTTAAATATCAGATAACAATGAATATAATAAAACTTTCAGTCCATATTTGTAGCAAATTGTTATATGTTTTTAAGTCAACCTTATTTCTCAAAGAACATAGGGCACTAAAGTAAAGTATAATAAAATCAGTGACTATATAAATAATATGTTTTCTTTTGTTAAAGATGGTACACCCCAAATCCAAAATTTGACAATGTATTGCTTAAATAGCATTTATTTTGTTATTGGTTAAAGGATTTTTTTTTCATTCAACTTTTAATTGTACAAAAATTGACATTCCAGAAATGTTTCAATGTAAAGTCCCTTAATTATATACTAAAATATGTTTGCAAACTGAAAGGATTGCACAAAAAACAATTGAACTTTTTTGGTTATTTGAAAGAGGTAAAAAAAAATTATTAAGTTCTACACTCATGTACTTTTGCCAAACCAATTTTTTACACAGGTAGCTCTCAAGACTTGCTGATGATCTATCTATATGGCAATTTAGCCCCAATGAACTGGAATTTCTGCAGATGCTGTGTGACTTACCGCTCTATCTGGATGTCCAAAGTCGATCTTCAATTGACCCATGGCCCGAATGATAGCTATCATTGACTGTATGGTGTTACTGTATACAACAGGTTTATACTGCAAACATTCTTCTTGTGAATAACCTTTCTCATGGATAATTCTGAAAAAATAATTGCAAAACATATTAGGGAAGTTTAAGGCAATTTTTTACCCCTGTAAGCTCAATCCTTTGACCGAGATTGTTCTTTTTGCACTAAGATCTTGACATGACTATGATCAAAATTAAAATACAGCTGCAAGGTGCCTATACACTAGGGGCTTAATAATGTCATGGAGGTCTTCTATGCCTGCGCAGTGAGCCTAAAACAATGTAACTGGGTGGTCTATTAGGACAAGTAAGGAATGCACCCCTGAGTCTAGAGTAAATTGACCCTAAAATGTGAAGCAGAGCAACAATAGATATCAATGTCCAACAGACTCAATATTTTGTCAATAAGTAATAAAAGTATATCTCATACTTTAAGCCCTTAATATGAACATAAGTCAAAACTAAATGACACACAAAAATAACCATTTGCTTCAGTGCATTTGCTAATTAATATGTAATATAAATCATGAAAATGAGTTTGAATATACATGTATGAAGCTATCCTAACATTAACTGTCTCTGTAACAGTAATGGAGGACATTAAGACGAGACAAGCCTTTTGGGGATTATTAAAGGACTTTACAATGTATGTCATACAAGTGTTACAAACCAGTAATTGAATTTGGTAAGGAACGAACCATATATTCTAGAAACATCTTAAGCAGGTCACAGTTTTCATTCATGCTTAAAGAAATATCCAAGCAGAGAAACACTGACACAAACATTTGTCAACACTTTCTACATGTAACTAAAATTGCATGAAGAGATATATAACTAATGTTTGATATAATTTGTCACCTAGGCTAAGTGCAGTAACATGTTAAATCCTTCTAAATTGAATAGGAGTTAAAAAGTCAGTGCACTAAGGTGACCATATATTAAACAAGACATTAACATGCATACGAACAAGTAAACTATAGAATTTCTGTAACACAATTTGACAAATAACGCTGAGTTGGAGAATACATAAGACATTATTTAAACCATTCATAACTAGAAGCAGAGATTATTGGATGTAAAACCCACATGTTTTATCTGGAGAAACACAAGAAGCTGCCTGCTTGCCTAATCAACGATAAGAATTATTGATCTACTGTCTTAATTTATCAGGGAAAAGCTACTAGTCTCCATAAACCACATGAAATACACAAAATTAATAGAACTATGTAACCTTACAAATGACAGACAAGCAAGTGATGCAGTTTTTTGGTGGGGTAATTTTTGCATACATAATTTATTTTGCTCTTTTTTCATATCACATATATCAAATCAAAGAAGTGTCTAACATAGAGATCTATTAACTGCAATAACATCTAAAATAACCACAGTTCTCCTGCACTATCAACAAACGACAGGCAAAAAAGAAAGTAATCATTTCTCTTTAATAAAGTGCATGTAAACATACATGTATTTTACTTATAAATACTAAATTAAAACTTTACAATTCTAAATTATAACCTTCAAGTATTCATGCAAAATTTTCACTTCAATTGTCTATATAAATTCACCCTATATATATTTGTCACCATTATCCGTGTCTGGACAGCCTCAAAACTATTTGCTGGCTTAATTTAAATTTCCATCTTTCATATCCCTAAGTTGATCATGGGCAGGTCCAGAAGAATAATACAGACAAGATTTAAGTCAATTTAACAAATTCACCAGGTTACGAGCAAAAGAGATATCAATACAAATAAATATACAGCCAAAGTGAAATTGTTGGATACATGTGTATAGGCAAGAAGCACACCCTTCATTGGAGGCACAGTCCTGTTGTTCTTTTTCCTATCAGCATTCAGAAAACAATGAAAAACAGCTGTTCCACCACGTTTATACCTATGTATGCGGTATTTTTTTATGACATTATAATTAACATGATGCATGTTCAGCAATTACATCTGACATATCAGTCAAATGTGTAGTTATTTATCGGTCTATACTTCCTGCTCTAAACCAGGCACAAGTTAAACAGTTATTTTCCCACATTATAATTTTTGTGTTTTTATTTATAGTAACATATATTATTTAAATTTAGCAATTATTGCAGACATTCTAGTTTTAATCAATAAAATCTTGAAATTCCCAAAAACTTTGAAGATCCCCCCACCCAGGTCAACTTGAAGCAAATGTATATACAGTATATAAAATGCCTTTTTATCAGATTATTTTTATTCCCATTATGATCAGAAAAAAAGGTTGAATGTTTGAATGGGTTTGTGAAATTTTCCTCAATTGCCTTGATGTTATCACACACTAATGTAAAAGGCATTCATGAGTTGTTTCAAAAGGTAACATCACGGAGTGTCCTAATAAATAATATCAACAGAAAGACTTGAGTGACACTGACATCTTATTAATAGAAAACTTTAAAAGTTGATATAATCATCTGTTTTCATATAAATTTACACATATAATAATTATTATATACTCACTTCATTTGTTTAACAATTGTACTCTTGCCTGACTCACCAGCACCTGGAAGTAACATATACATTACAATTAATTAGACAATAAAATGCAAGTGTTTTGAGGGATATAATTAACTCTGAAATTTAGTTAGCCAGTCGGGCTGGTAACTTTTGTAATCAACTTACATGTATCAAGTAGCCCAGCTTACAATCAACTTACAATCAATTAGCCAAGATTCAAATTACGACTAATAGTTTAAAAGTTTAATTATAAGAAAAACAAGGTGTTCTTCGGCTTATTCTTTGTTTAACTTCAAATCTATTCTTCCATCTTAACTCTTTCAATGAAACACCACATTTTCCTTACAATGTAAACAAGGCGACATCCTTGTCACAGTCACCAAAACACTTGTAAAAATTTAGTTGTATCTGACCTAAAATGGAAGTTCACTACATGTATGTACGACTTTTAAAATAGGGCTAATTTTGGGGAATTGAGACAAGTGCAAAATCAAAATTGAAAGGAAAACCCAATGAAACATTGTAGAAAATAAAAAAACTGGCAAACTTCCACTCGCCAGCTGGGCGTTCACCTGGTAAAATTTTAGTCGTCATTGGCGATGGGGTGATTGAAATTATAGCCCTGGTTTCCTTGACAATGATAACTGGACTCTTGGTATAGATGAAAAAGTCATAGTTTTTACATGAACAGGGAAATGTTTCTGACAACAAGTTTTGAGGTATGAACAACTTAATTCAAAACTGTTTAACATTAACAAGCGAAGTTTGCCCATTGACTGCCCAAAATCATGTTCTTATTTCAATAAAAGTTATCAAATTTCAAGAGCAAAAAAGTAAAGTAATTAAAAGTTAAAACCATTTATGATTATACTTAATGTTTAATTACATTAATTGTGATGTTTCATGGAATGACTAAACTGTACTTACAGGGCCAAAACACCATTTTTGGGGAAGGGGCCTCAGCCTTTTTCTTGGGGAAAATATGCGTGATTATGGCATACTTTAGGAAAAGGGGTCTCAAATTTAACACAAACTTTTGAAGTTCTTCAAAATAGAAAAGCAAAAAGCACTGGGAAATACTAATAAAGCAGTAAAAGACCTTAATTCAACACCATCATTTAATTTTGTTCTAAATTCTATGAGAAATTTCAAAAGACTGGAAAATGTTGAGGACCAAACTGGGGGGAAAAAAAGAGGCTAGTTTGAATGGGGAAGCAGCCTATGTTCGGCCTCTACAAAGAAAAGTTTTTTGGCCCTGACTTAGAATAATTAAGTAAATTGATAATAATAAATAATAGACCAGAGAAAAGAATAGTTGGGTTGGGCATAGGGAAAAGAATCATAATTATTTGGTATGATATGGTTACATTGAAGATCATAACTTCATTACATTTAAATGTGGAGTCATCAATTAAGAATCATGTGTATACAAATACATGACAAATAATAAATAGACTCTGTATTTAGTAAATAGACCTAACCCAATATTTAATAGGTACATCTTATAATTAATTAAGACCATCATTATGATGTGCATTAGTGACAGTTTTTTTTTGGGAGGTCTTTATTCACAGATGTTCTCTGACATAAGGTTGACTGTACAAATATCACAACTCTCCTTTATTCTACAATGTGCAATACATGTAAATATTATGAAGATATTATAACCTTATATACAGCTTAATATTAAAGATTGAGAGTTTGTGAAACAGTCCATGGATGGGATATATATACTGTAACAAATATCAAACTCAACAAATTTAAATACTGTTTAAAGACAATATCTTTTATCTTGTTCATCATATAACATTAGTTTAGTTACACTGACCTGTCAATTTGGTGGTTCAAAATAAATATAAGCTACTAGGGATGTGTGCGCAGTATCAATTCATAAACTCTAGTTGCAGTAAAACTGATCAGTGTTTTTAGGGCCAAATTTATTCTAGTGCCAATATAAGGTATTCCAAATGGAAAATAAAACCTTTTTTGTCAATTGAAGAACCAATGAAGTTGATGATGTAAGTACTGTTGACTGAAATGAGGATAAAACAGTAATATAAGCAAGTGTTAAATTTCTAGTCACAGTCAGTAGTGTAAAGTTTTTTCTCAGTGTGGTTTTTAAGATCCATTATCTGATACTATTTTTTCATATACCACTCAAATCATAATACTACATGTCATTATGTAGATAAAACAGAGTGAATAATGTTAAAATATTGAACAAATATCCTAGCAGTCATACATAATGTTATCATGATCACTCATCAGCATTACAAATTATCCCATCTCACTACAGGATTCAATTGGCTCTGATTTGCATAATTAATGCAACTATTCCAAGAATGTTGTGCGAATTTTTTCAGGGAAGTCAGTTGCTCTTGCAAGTTCATGTTCCAATATTTGACTTGCATTTACAGTTACAGTTATATAGCGTTTATTCAAATCACAAGCTTTTCTCATGGTCCATTATGTTCCAGGTACCTTAACATGATTCTTGGAAAGATATTGAGGTAATAGTTGTCAGTACTTTAGTTAAGCGTTAATAGAGTTGAGGCCATAATTAAGAGCACAAAGACTTTGCTTTGTACTTATAATTCAAATGTCCTTCTTGAATGATAGGGAGTTTTTCTGATACAATACCCATGAAACACATGCAGGGCTCTCAGTAGGGTCAGAATTTCACGAGTCAAAGACTCTTTGGCTAAAATTTTTATGAGTCAAATAATTTTTTTCTAGTGTCATTTGACTAAACTGTACATGTATCATTTTTATGTTACAAAAATAACTGTATTGGAGGTCATTTTTGGAGATTCCAAAGTCTAAATTGACAGAAAAAAATGCCTAATTATAAATGTTTATATATAGTACCCCCACCACCTAAAAAACAAAACAAAAAACAAATAAAACAAAAACATGAATTGCTGTGAAAGAATAAAATAAGCAGCATCTTTTCTGATTAAATGTATAAAATATAAAAAAATATCTTTACTGGTATGCTATATCATATTAATTTTAAATACCAAAATGTACCAGGAATATTTATAAGAAATGCACAGGTACTCCAAGTAAATGAAAGACGTATTATAAACCTTCAGAAGCAATCAATAATTGACACCTCAAGTATGTAATTCTTATCAGTTGTGTAGAGCTATTTTCAGCGCTGTCAAATTGCAGCCACTGAATTGTCGCGCTTCAGTGCACAGGGTATAAACAATTGCCGTGTGTAAAGCATTTTATACACATCTTATACTGCCTGTTGACATTTTTTATGAGTGTGATTTGAACACATGTAGGATTTGATAGATAATTAGGGGTGGATTTAAGGTAATTATTATTGCATAGCTGAAAATCCCATACATGTGGAAAATTGACTCTTGAGCAGATTTTATCACGTGTCAAATATGTGCATTTCCCGATTTTCACGAGTCAAAACCCGGATCCCCGTGTCAATCGAGAGCCCTGACATGGATTGAAACTTTTTCATGCTTGGACACTGTTATTTACTCATAATCATTGTTACATCAGAAAATGTGTCACAAATGAAAATTTGTCTGTTACTACTGAATATAATTATACTAAATTATTAATTTTTTTTTAAATATTTGTGTAATGTTTTTCATAAATTTGCTATATTATCAAGCATCGAAACACAAAAATTTCCAATTTGTCATTTACAGCAAAATCTACAGTGGTTGATGTAACCGTCTGAAGACAAAATTCACTTGTATTTAGATGACATGTCCAATTTAATGTTGGTCAATAATATGTAACATATTTCTTTTAAAATAAAATGTTAATTTTGCCGGCACTTATCTTGAGTATCGTTTTTATCAACCAATTAGCGAACCTATTACAAGTTGACATCTCTTTAAACATAGCCATTGATGAACATGGCATTTCAAATCAACCATTACATTCTTGCCTAATCTTGGTTTCAGATTTTATCACTTAAACTGGGGTTACCATAAGCGCTGCAGCCAAGGCACCAGACATTGTGTACTGTCAAAAAAGGTTGACCTAATTAATGCAGGTGTTAAATGTTTTTAGGATGTATGTTTACTATCACTTATATATTTCATTAAAGCGTCTCCAGCCGTCCAGGCAAAAATTTGGGGTTTACGGGAGCATAAAAATCTTTAAGCAATCACCTGCTTTCTAGAGGGTGCTCACATGTGATTGTCATGTGACAAATTAAAACCACTCTTTTGGCTAACTTAAGTTACATTTCAGAGATACTTGAGGAGGTTTGATTATGTCCTTTATTTTAAGAGGCCATTCATGACAATTTAACAAAAGAGGGAACTGTATGCTCTTCAACGACTGAAATGGAGCTTTTTTAATAAAAGTCTCTACTTATATTTACTTCATATTTTATGCAGTATCAATAAATATCCATAAGTATGAAGTGATTTGTGTTAGACCGAAAATATATCAAAAATAGCAGCCAGATAAGTCAAAAGGGTCTTCACAAGGGTGGGGCATTTACATCATTTCCAACTCCTTTTTGATTCACGATTGATACACACCTAGCAGAAGCAGTTTAACTTCTCTTGCCGCCTTTTCTCCATCGGCTCTGAGCTGTTTTTCAATTTGTTTAGATCTTTCTTGTGCCGCTTTGTCGTCCGAGCTCACCGCACACCCCATGTTTTCAAGCGTCTATCGCACGAAATCTGATCACAAAACCAGGAAAAGACTTTTTATACCCAATTTCTTTTTATTATTTCTTTACTTTTTAACAACACCACCAAAGAAAATTACTCCAAATTATATCACCGTGCTGACTCTCGTATTTACATGGTTTATATCCAAAACAATTTTTAAATTTTCTGTGAATTTTATCGTTGTTTGTGTTGATTTTCAGTCGATCGATGTTTGAAGTACAACTTGCCCGGATGTTGAAGCACTTACAGATCTCGTTTATTGCGAGATACTTCGAGATAAATAAAGCGTCTGTAATTCAAATTGACCAATCCCCTGTCAGTAATTCTAAACTTAGAGGCGCGAAATTTCAAAATTTGCCATTGATCAACGTGCATAATAAATGTAAGAGTTGCATTGCCAAATCACGTCTTTCTGGAAAAAAGGTTCTGGTCACAGTTTTGATTTTTTTCTATTGAAAAGACCCAGCAAAAAGGGTGTAGATCTAGAGCTATAAGTATATTAATCAAATGTTAATATAAGTAGATCTAGATCTAGAATCTACTTGGCAAAAACCAAGTGCTCTTGAAAACGAAATTTAGAATATCAGTTCATAGAACTAAATCTTTTTCTAGAGATAAGCCTCATTCATAGATCAATATGCAACAAGTTAATTAAAATGGTTTCACCACGGTAGGGATTCACGTGACTTTTACGGTAAGGCCGCTATTCCATTTATACGTGATCAGTGGTCCGCGTCCGTCATCCGCGTCCGCTACCGATTCGCTAATCAAAGAATACGTTGAATCTATTCCTTTTGTCCGTTTACCATCCGCTTCCGCGACGGCATGATCCGTAAAAAATCGCTCATCCTGCGAAACGTCGCGGATGGCATCCGCGACGTTTCGCAGGATGAGCGATTTTTTACGGACGCGGACAGTCACTGACATGTCTCATCCCTACAAAATGCCTCGAACGAAATTAAATACTTTATCAATTTCGAAAGAAAATACTAAAGAGCTCACCAAAATAGTGTAGAAGAGAACCTATAAGTTTATGATGCAGCAATGACAGATTAAAAATAACAACATCTGGTCTTCGGTTGCTCAAGAGATGTTATTTGAAAACCTAACTGATATTCAATGTTTGTTACATAATTCTTTGATGTTACAACTGTTTTTGGTATTAGAACGAAATTATATCATATTCTACAAATAATTATCCTCTGTTTGCTATACTTCAATTAAAAGTATATAGAAAATAACGTACCTATGGAATAATACCCACGGACATGCCCGGACACGGACCACTGACGCGGGTCACGGATCACGTACTAATGGAATAGCGGCCTAACGCGTACAGACAATATGGCTGCCTAAAAACCTCGCTTCACATAGATCTATGTTTCTCAGGTAATTCTTAATCATATCCCTTTTACTTACATACGAGACCTGTTGCAGCCTACGCGGAATAAAGAATTGTTGCCGCCTATACCTTATTTTTCACCCCTGTGCTCAAAGCTTTTACAAACACTCAAACATTCAACAGGAATTTTCAATGTGGACAATTATTTTGCGCGTAACATTCAAGCAGAATTTTGTATTTTTTATGAATTTGAAATTGTCTTATAGAATCTAAATAGATCTATGTGAAACTTTAATTTGTAATTTAGCCTCATCCTTCACTAAAAAGTTTATAATGATCAGCTTGAAATTGACTTAAGTTTACACAGAGTTAAAAAAAGGTTGATAGAATCTAGATCTACTGACAATCACTAAAAAAGCAAATTGAAATGATTCTAGATAATTTAACTTTTGTTCAGATCATTTTCTGTTACTGTAATTTTAAAGGGTAATAAAAAAAACCTTAAAAGCGGGGTTTTCAAAAGCTTAGATCTATTTAAATGCCCATCTAAAGGTATATAGTGAGTGAACAGGTGAGAGTCAAAATAAATTTTCATTTTGCCATAATTCCTTTTGATTTAATGATTTACTTCGCATAAACAATAAATAACCACCGGATTCAAACGAAATTTCAGTAAATATCATTTAGAATTTACCTGTAACGTTCAATTTATAAAAAGAGTGGGGCAGTCTTTTTATATTTTAGGCAGATTTTAAATTTTATCCTAAACATTTTCCAATATAATCTGTTGGTCAAACATCATTTAAACAGTCAATCTTTTGAAATATAAAGTCAATTCAGCTCAACTTGACAATGAAAATATGAGCATAATGTCACTTTAATACAGGTCAATTGTGATAAACAATTTGAAATATTGCTTTTTAAGACGGCAATACTTTATCATAGGGCCACTGACACTTCGTCGTTACCGAAACGCTTTTCCTACGTTATTATGTCACAGGACCTAGAGGGTTATCAATATGTAGATCAATCAATTTAGAAATCTATATTAGAGCTATCAATAATTTCATAAGAGCTTGGAACTGTAACATATTGATTTTCAAAGAGATATTAAAGGAACTCCACTGAGGTCCAAAAGTCCAAAGCATTTAGTAATAGAAAGAGCACCGAAACACGAGGCTATCTGATTTGTACGAGGGGGCGTAGCCCCCGAGTATTAATCAGATTGCCGAGTGTTTTGGTGTTCTTTCTCTTTTGTATCATAGTCAAACATAAAAGCACGTTCCCTGTTGACACAATATGAAACCCCGGCAAAAATGAACCAATGAACGAACATCTGAATATGACATTTCTGTCGCTTTCCCTTTCTCTGCCGTCACAATATGTAAACCCCAGCAAAAATGAGCCAATCAATGTGCATGCTCTGGAGTGCGGGTAACTAATACCCGCACTCCAGTTAACGCACTGTGCATGTATATGTATACGATTTAAACCTGACACATTTTCAACAGAAAGGTCTCCAAACTATGATACAATTATTATAAACCCGACCTACATCAAATGGTACACAAATCTCGAAAAAATAAATTCCGGTCTTGTCATGTAAAAACAAAACCGCAGTGAGCACTTTAAAACATTTCAGTATTTCTTCCGAGTCTTTTGGGATAGATCTATAGGAAAAGGGAACAAAAGCGCGAGTTAAATTATACCTGGTTATCAAAATGTTGGAAACATTTTAATTTTCTGCTGCAAACTTTTATTAGTAATTTGTTTCTTTACTGCCCTGACCGATGGGATAGTAACTTAATGTTCACTAAAATGCCAGGAATAATGTATACATGGAGACACCATGCTTGAGTATTGATTTCAAAGCGCATTTTATCACGTAAGTAAATGCTCTATATCATTCCTTTTTCCAGTCTACGAAATCTGCGTTAGCAAAAATACTACAAAATTGCACAAGAAACAGGGATAAATCAAAGCACAGAAGGCGCTGAATTTATTTGAGTCTCAGAATGTCAGAAAGGTGAAGGTTGTGAGATTATAAAACAATTTGTTTTTTGTATAGTGCCACCAATGCTTTCCAGCGTTTTACTTGTAGAAGATTTGCTATAAGACTAATTGCAACACTGATGTTCAATCCAATGTTTTTTTGACTTAAACAATTTGAAAAAAAATGAGATGCCTTAACTGGGATTTGAACTCCAGACATTTCGATACCTGAGCGAGCGCGCAAACCCCTCGGCCACGGAGAATTTATATGTTAATGGCCTGAAGAAAACCATATTATTTTAAATTAGAGTTTGTAACGACGCTAACTGTTGTTTACCACTTGTGTAAATAATCATGGCGCTTACTATAAGCATGTATATCCTTAAATAATAAAACAATATTAGAAATCTTCCGACCATTCGGGAACTATTTTGCTTGAAAATTAATGCGCCTGTCATGTGACCATATTTACGCAGTGATCTCCCCTGAATTTTTCGGCCTTACTGTTACATATAAAGGGAAGTAACCGCTTCAAAAAAGCGGACTACTTTCGGCATTTGCAATTAACAGCATTAGAGTCTGAAATTTCGCTACCATTATTTGTTTGGTCTGACGACCCAAACAAATAAAAATAATTTACATTTTACGAGGGTTGTTCAAAAAGAAATCGGACTGCAGCTCTACTGCTCACATTTTTCAATATACGGTCACAATTTTACACGAGACAAACATGTTGTCTATATACTGTGAAAAAATCAATACAAAATGTTTACAAATAACATTTCTGTAAAATTTTGAAATGACAAGGGGTACGAAACCCGATACAATGAATGACGTTCATGACGTCGTAAACTAAATACAAAATGTACAGCAAGTGTCATTCTTACTGAAAGTAGTGTGTTATCTGAATCATGTTCGTATGATCAGGCTTCAAATTTGAAGATGAAGCGAGAAACAAAGCGATTAAATCTTATTCCACTCTAAAAAAATAATAATGATAATAAAACATTCCCGATAGCCGGTCATTTTTCGCTTTTCTTATACATTTTGAGCAATCTAGAAAAACAATATTTATCTATTGAACAGTATCTTTTTTCTACTGAGCACTGTCTACCTTTTATTTAAATTAAATTGGGAAAACCGTTAATCATTATTATATTAGTTTATTGATACCACGTTTAGTGTTTCAAATTCAACCCTTAGGTCAGAGCTGAATAAGTTGATCTGAAGCCGGACAGTTCGCAAACCGTTACCGTCGATCCCTTCGTAGCGCATTTTGCAATTGACGTCATGTAACGTCCCGTCAATTTTCATCCTCTCCCTTTCCTGTAAGTGATCTTGTATTAGCCATTTTTGAATTGATTGCGCCAGCTAAAAACAAGTGTTCTGATGGCAGGATAATTGTTCTTTGTTAATTAAATCTTTTTGTATGTATCTGAATGAGTAAAATAGACAATCTGTCCACAAACTTTAACGATCGTTCTTAACGAATTTCATATTTCTACATTTAACGCTATGATCACCGTTGTTCAAATTTTAACAATTAAGCCATTTCATATCCGAATGACGTCATTTTTAAACATTATGTCACTTAAATATATTTAAACAGGTTGTTGGAATATTTGAACAAACAGATTATAAATTATGAATTAATTAGAAGTGATAGATAGATAGATTCTTTTATTCCTCCAAATTTGAAGAGTACAACATATATACATGCATAAAGACATTGACATAGATTTCTAATATACAAATATTTATGTACATAAATCACGTTCAAGTTTCCTAATAATGGTAAAATAAGTAATAATAATAGCACAATAAATTAATAGAATTATGCTAAAATTGTAGAAAACATGTTACGATCGCTGTACATAGATCTACATAGATTTCTATAAAATATTCTAAATTGAAT